AAAATGAGGACCTGATGCCAGGGGCTTAAGTGGAGAGGAAATGCTTTGAGAATGATGAGGGCAATGAATGTACAAATGTGCTTTACACAATTGATGTAAGTATGGATTGTGATAAGAGTTGTATGAGCCCCTAATAAAATGATTTTTTTTAAAAAGGCAGTTCTACCCTGTCCTGCAGGTCGCTACGGCAGTGGGCTTGTTTTCTCCTGGCTTGGTGGCACCTCTTGGTCATGGTTATGTACAGGTGGGGGCAGCAGAGGTTTTAAAAGGTCTGTTGACTTTTTGGCTCTCTGGTCTCTGACCCTGGCTAGTTCTGAATCGAGACCAAACCTCACCGGCTGCTCAGGGATGGGGGTCATTTGCTGGGTGCTAAACACAGCCTCTGTTCTAGAAGGTGCGCACATCCCCCAGAGCTCAGAGCCAGAGGGAGAGGGAATCAGAGAGACAATAGGGAGCGATACCGACTCTCTGACAAACTTGCCCGATCAAAAGGTTTCCAAAAGATTATTTGGAATAGAAGCTAAGTGCCTTTTCCCCAAATCGGGGAGCCAGCACCCTGGAAATTCATCCTCACAGGGAAAAGGCAGGAGCCACTTTTGTTTTTTTTTTTTGGGGGGGGGCTACATGGTCGGTGATCAGAGCAGCCTATTGGACAACCGTGCCTCTCTTTAACCATGACTCAGGGCCCGGGCATGCAGATGGGGCAGGGGCTCCAAGGCTTTATCCTGGGTCTTAGTCTGGGTCTTCAAAGAGACAAGGAGTGGGGAGGGGAGCGAACACACGCCACCTTGCCAACCTCCACTCCCTTAATAGCTCTGCTATTTGACAATTTGTTTGGCAACATATGGGCTTGCTCTTGTAAATTCCCCTCTTCATAATAAAACAGCAGATGGTGGAGAAGATCTTTCGTCCCTGCTCTCCGGGGCTTAATGGGATGCTGGCAGCAGGGGCAGGGCCGCGTCCCCGCCGAGTCCCCTACCACGCGGCACCTTGGCTTTAGCAAGAGCTCACAGCCGGCCCTGGTGACTGCTATTTAAAAACCCGAGCAATTTTCTGGTGTGTGCACCGCCGTGCTTTTCCCCGGCTGATTGATTGAGGCTGTTTGTCAAGAGCTGCCACGGAGCCTCTCACAAGAAAGCCACCCCGGAGCGCGGCTAAGGATCTTGATGCAAAACTTCTAATATGTTTTATTGCAACTTGTACTTCACGAGGGCGGCCCTGACAAAAGTCTTTGTCTTCCACTGCCCCTCGGCGTGCCTACCTGTTCCTGAGAGAGTGCCGGGAACAATTAGCCGCCAAGGGAATGGAGGGCCACTCACAGCACCCCCTCCCACCCCCGCCCCGGCGGAGGGGGTGAGCGGGGCTCCAATAGGCACCTGTCCTCAGGAACAGGAGGGAGGGTGAGCCCAGCACCCTCTGGTGCTCCCTTAGGGATGCCCAGTCCGGGGCGGAGGAAGGACCGTGCTGAGACCCATGCCTCTGGGGGCCTTGAACTGGGGACAGACAGGTGCCACGGGGTGGGGGTGGGGGTGGCGTCAGGACAGGAGTACAACCTGCTATTGGACGGGCATCTGTCCTTGGCTTTGTGCCTTGGTCAGACAGCCCCTGACTGACCTGGGAGGCACCAGGGGTGGGGGGTGGGAGGCTCAGCCGTACCTTAGCGTATTCCATCAGGTCGTTGCGGCCCTTGAAGCGGTTGTAGAACTCCGGCATCCTCCAGGGGGCAATGACCTGGGCAGGGGGCAAGGAGTCAGCATGGGAGGCCCAGCTGCTGGCGTCTCTGCCTCCCCTGGGAAGGGGCCAAGGCCCCCCAGGGTCCCCGAGGGTCGCCTGCTATCTCCTGGGGGATGCTGGTGGTGGTGGGGAGGGGTGGGGGCCTGGCCCTACAGAGGAGGGGCCAGTTCGTCATGCTGAGAGATGGCTACGGAGAGGTCTCCACTCCATGGTTGAATGTCAGTGTGTCCCCCAGTGAGTCTCTGCCCCCTGGGGCCTCAGTTGCCTTAAATGGGATGTGAGGGTTTGAACTGGACAGGCTGCAAGTCCCTCCCCACACCCTTGGGTAGCAAGCTAGGGCTCTTCCACTGCTGGCAGCTAAGGAAGGGTCAAGGAGCTGGACCTTATTTCTGGGTGATGGGGCCGAGATACCACATATGTCTCCCTTGCTTCTCTTCTTGTTCCCTTCCTTTCTGCACCCCATGGCTGCTCTGGGTGGCGGGGGGAAGGCAGCTAGGGCAGGGGAGTCCAATCCCTGAGAAGGCCAACCTCATTCCTCCTTACAGGCCTCACTGGCCTCCGGTGGGCAGGGACAACTGCCCTTACCCCCGAAGCTCAACCAGCCCCGTCCTCTGCTGACAATGACTTCAGACAGGTTGGGGTATCATTTAAACGGAGAAGCTGGTTTGATTTCTGGGGTGTGGAGCTGGCCTGGGCAGTGGTTGTGGGAGCCAGTTGATAAGAAGACAGGCCTGTTACTGTCCTCCAACCACCCCAGGCTGAGAGTGGACGGTGCCTGGACCGGGCCCCAGGCTGGGGATGGGCACTGGCCCCTGAGGTCGACCTCGTCAGACAAAGGCCTAGAAATTGGACACCCTGGCCCCCCAAGCTGCTGTGGGAACTCGGGGGAAGGGCCCTTGATGCCCGCCTGCAGCAAGTGGACAAGCAGCTACTGTCCGGGGCTTCCCAGCAGCCTGGTGTTTGGGGTCAAAATAGCTCATTAGAGCTCATTAGGACTCACCTCCCAGGCCACTCCCCACCCCCAGCAGCTGCTGGTTAAAGGGGTAGAGAAAGACGAGTCATTTAAAAGAAAAAAACAAAAACAAAACTAAGCCCTTTGAGCCCTTGGGGTGCTTGGGAGGGAGATGGGAGGAGGGAGGTTTCCTGAGCTTCCACCCAAAGTCCCCTGCCCTGCCTAGTGGCAGCCCACACTCCAGGCCCCACATCCAACCTGGCAGCCACACGCCCACGGCCACTGAGCCCTGACCGAGATGTGCTGTGCATCCAACACAGCCCGGACTCTGAGACTAAGTGGAGAAGGGGTGGGGCCTGCCTCGTTGACGTTGGTTACATACGGAATGCTATTTTGGACATATTGGGCTAAATATAAGGATATGATTAATACGAACGATGGCTCTTTCTTTGCACAGATCCAGGCTTGTAGGTAGTAGTAGGCAAGGACCCACGGGGCTCACATTTGCGGTCTGCGTTCTGCTCCTATTGCTCAGTGCTGCTCTGCCTCCTGCCTACACCTCCGGAGCCTGGCCTGAGGCACCCAGTGAATACTGACTGGGTGAATGAGTACATGGGGAGGTGGGTGGGTGGGTGGAGAAGTGGATGAGTGGTATGGCCGGCTGGCTGATAGAAGCGTTGAGGAGGTGGGTGGATGGATGGATGGATGGATGGATGGATGGATGGATGGATGGATGGATGGAAAGAGGGTTGGGTGGATAGGTAGGTGGATGGGTAAGTAGACAGGTTGTGGGAGGTGGATGATGTATGAGTAGATGGCTGGCTGGATGACTGAGTGAACAGCTGGGTAGGTAGAAGGATAGATGAATAGATGGATGGATGGATGGATGGATGGATGGATGGATGGATGGATGGATGG